CCCCCCTTGGGACCACGAGGGCAGTAATTACTGACTGCACTTTCTGGATTGGGGCGGAGCCACTCGTGCGGGGACAGGCCGTGCTGGCGCGGCAGCGTTCTGAGTGCCCAGCAGGACTGGCGGGCGAAAGACCCCGTTGGCTCCCGCCTGGGTGCGCCCTTCCTACCCGGCGCGTGGCGGCGCGGCGGTAGGGAGAGCATTAGCGTGAAACGAGAAACGAGAAACGAGGGGGAGGAGGAAGGCCGTGCTGAAGAATCCAGGCCCTCCACAAAGAACCCTCTCCACGTCCAGCATGCTCGCCAAGGCAGGAGAAGGGAGGAGGAGGAGGAGGAGGAGGAGGAGGAGGAGGAGGAGGAGAGGAGGGAGGGAGGAGGGGAGGAGGGGGAGGGGAGGAGGGGGAGGAGGAGGAGGGGAGGAGGAGAGGAGGAGGAGGAGGAGGAGGAGGAGGGGGAGAGGAGGAGGGGGAGGAGGAGGAGGAGGAGGAGGAGGAGGAGGAGGAGGAGGGGGAGGAGGAGGAGGAGGAGGAGTTCCTCATCCGGTGGATCCCTCTCCACGGCCCTCACCGTGCAGGCTCTCTCGGGGGGGGGGCGGGCGTCGGGCCATTGCACAGCGCGCACCCGTCGCCGGCAGGGGCCCAGCGCCCCGACAGCTCTGCACATAGTCCATCTCTAATCCTTCGAGAGCTAATCCTTCCATAGTCCAGCTCTGCACGTGGTCCCCTCCTCCTCCTCCTCCTCCTCCTCCTCCTCCTCCTCCTCCTCCTCCTCCTCCTCCTCCTCCTCCTCCTCCTCCTCCTCCTCCCCCGCCTCCTCCTACACCTTAGGCGATGCTTAAGAAAACTTAAATTTTCGGCCAGAGTCTCGATTATTCTTGACGTTTCAGTGTGAGTCCCAAGATTTTGGTAGAAATGTTGGGGTTTTATTCCAGTTCTGAGGCTATGAATGTCTTGACCCATGATTTCTTAAGCATTTCGCAGGGTGTAGTCCTTCGAGAGCTCTCTGATTTTTTTTGGGGGGGGGCCAAGGTCCTTTCATTTCTAAGTCTTCTATCCTGGGCCTCTTCTGATGGGCCTGTTTTCCACCACCACTACCATAAGCTGGAGGGAGAGGGGGTCCTCCTCCTCCTCCTCCTCCTCCTCCTCTTCCTACTCCTCCTCCTCCTCCTCCCCTTCGTCGTCGTCCTCCTCCTCCTCCTCCTCCTCCTCCTCTTCGTCCTCCTCCTCCTCCACCCCCTTTCCCCCTCCAACTTGTGGTGGTGGTGGTGGTGGTGAAAAACAGGCCCACCATCTTCCTGGCCACCAGGGGGCCAGGAACAATCAGGGGCGAGCGCACCTAGAGAAACGAGCACGATGAGAAAAATGAACGACGCGCAGGCCTCCTGGCTGGGGTCGGAGCAGTTGGGGTCGGAGAACCGCGCCGCATCGCCGAGGCATCGCCTGTGCGGCTCGACGTCGAGCCCAATGTGCGTCACGTCGGCGTCGCCGATGCACCGCTGACGTCGACAATGAATCGCAGGTGCATCGCCGATGCATCCATCGGCGATGCGGCGCCATTTTCCGACCCCATCTACTCCGACCCCATCTGGGAGGCCTCTGATAGCCCGCCCCGCCCATCGCGACGATCGAAATGGGCACGGAGAGAATGGGTACGCTGCCCAACAGCAATCCCTCTGCGTTTTGAGCAGGACTTGCTGCCCGCGCCGCCGCGGACGTTGTTCTCGGAAGACAGGAGACGGCCTGCCCAACAGCGGCCGCTGTCGGTTTGGGGCAAGATGTATTGTTGGGCACTGTACCACCTTTTCCGTACTCATTTCGGGCGTCCAAAGCTGAGGACCGTGCGGCGTCTCTCTCGGCTATCGAGGGCCTATCGCCGATCCATCGGCGGTGCCTCGCCGACCCAGGCCGACCTTCCCAGCCCCCCGACTCCCTGAGCTTCTCATAGCGTCGACCCCCAGAGGTTTCGACCCGTTCCCCGGGACCGGCTTTCATCCCGACTCCTTTTTTTGACGGTCCCGAGGGCAGGTCAGGGTTCCTAGGGGCCGAACATCGCGAAAAACCTCCCGTCGTGAGTTTTGCATACCTTGAGTGGTATGGGTTTCTCCCCCCCTGGCCAGCCCAGAGGTCTCGACCCATTCCCCAGGGGGGACAGGTTTTTCATCCTGGGTCGTTTTTCGAAGGTCCCGAGGGCAGGTCAGGGCCCCGAGAGGCCAAAAATCACGAACAACCTGCCGTCGTGAGTTTCTCATAACTCGATGGGGTATGGGTCCCCCCCCCTCCCAGAGGCCGAAGATCAAGAAAACTGCCCGTCGTGAGCTTCTCCGAACCCGAGGGGGTATGGGTTCTCCCCCCCCCCTTTGCCAGCCTTCCCCTCGTCGCTGCCCCTCCCGCAGGGCGTCTCCGGCTCCGGGGGGCCGCCCGGAGGGCCCGCCGCCGCGGAGGAGGCTCTGCCGCAGCCCGGCACGGGGCGGCAGCAGCTGGAGGACCCCGGCAGCGGCCTCGACGAGGAGCGAGGAGGAGCAAACTCGAAGACGAACAGACGGCATAAACATAAGCTGTTGGCGCTCCGCACGGATTTCTTGGATCCGCGCTGGGCCCCCCTGGGGGCGCCTCCAGCGCCGCCCTTGGCGCACTCCGCGCGCCAGGGAGGGGGGTCCAGCGCAGATCCAGGCATCCCGCGCGGAGCGCCAACAGTTTATGTTTGTGCCGTCTGTTCTTCTTCTACTCTAGGCCTCTGAGATGGGGTCGGAGTAGATGTGGTCGGAAGATGTTGCCACATCGCCGAGGTATCGGCGATGCATCAGTGATGCGGCTTGATGTGGGGTCCAAGTTTCTCCACGCCGACGTCGCCGATGCATCCATCGCCGACGTCGCCGATGCATCGCATCGCCGATGCGTCGGCGATGTATCGCCGATACATCGGCGATGCGGCGCGATCCTCCGACCCCGTCTACTCCGACCCCACCCAGGAGGCCTCTGTGAACGTGCTTCTCGGAAGTCTCTGCGGGCTTCTTGAACCTGCGCTGGGACCCCCCATGGTTTCAGCTACGCGTCAGCGCAACGTTCCGCCGGAGTGACCTTTTGGTGCGGGCCCACAGCGGTCCCACCAGCACCAGCCGGCGGGCTCGGACAGCTTGGGCGTGGCCTCCCCCGCGGCCCCCGACAGCCGCGCACCAGAGGTCACTCGTGCCCCGGGCCACTCTTGCGCGCAGCCGACGGCGGCGCCTCCGGCAACGCCTCTGGCGCGCTCCGCGCGCCAGGGAGTACACCTTAGGCGATGCTTAAGAAAACCTACGTTTTCGGCCAGAGTCTCGATTATTCTTAATGTTTCAACGTAAATCCCAAGATTTTAATAGAAATGTTGGGTTTTTTATTCAAGTTCTGAGACTATGAATTTCTTAACCCATGATTTCTTAACCATTTCGCAGGGTGTAGGGCAACAAAGAGTGGCAGAAACAGAAAAACTCTGAGGTCCGCGCGGATGTCTCGGATCCGCGCTGGGGCCCCCCCGGCGGCGCCTCCGGCGCCGCCCCTGGCGCGCTCCGCGCGCCAGGGAGGGAGGCCCAGTGCCGATCCGAGCAATCCGCGCGGACCTCCGAGTTTTTATGTTCATGCCAGTTGTTGTCCCCCTGTGGGGCGAGGCGGGGGGCCAGCGCAGCCCCGCGAGATCGGCGCGGACCTCCGAGGGCGCGTGCGCCCGGCTGCCCTGGCGCGCCCCGTGCCGGCGCGCGGCGCGTGCACAGTGCTCACGGCGTCCGTGGCGAGGAGCAGCGTGCTAGGCTCGGCGCGCGCTGGCCCACGCCGGGGGCCACGAGGGCGGCGCCTCTGCACGGCGTCCCCTCCTCCTCTCGAGCCTTTCGAGCGCGGCCCTGTGCCTCCGCGCGGAGGCGCAGCCGTTGCGGCCTCCGCCGCGTCGGCGGCGCGCGGCGGGCCCGCCGCGGCCGCCCACGGACTCCTCCACGGGGGCCTCCAGAGAGGCCAAAGCGAAGAGCGAGGGCCGAGAAGTCGGGCCGAGGGAGCACGAGGGCCCGGCGGCCCAGGGCCCCAGAGCCCCAGGGGGCAAGAAGGGAAGCCAGGACGGGAGGGGGGGGAAGAGGAAGGATGCCTCCAGGGCGCTCGAAGAGGGGGGGGGGAAGGCAGACCGCGGGCAGGGGCAAGGGGCCCGACCCCCAGGGAGAGGAGGAGGAGGAGGAAGGCCACCTGGCCGAAGGACGAGGGGGGCAAGGAGGCGGGGGTCGGGAGCCTGGGAGCCAGGGAAACATCTGTACATACTTTGACACCCCCGTCCCACATGGTACCAGCAGCCGCGCCGCCGCAGTCCCGCTGGGTGGGGCGAGGGTATCAGAACTGGTCGGCTGTGCTGCAGACACCCTGGCCAGGACAGGAGGGGGGAGGGGGGGAGGTAGCCTCATCAGGGCGATCAAGGAAAGGGATGGAACTCCTGGATCCTGGCGGGCGCGGCCCGCGCCTAAGGGCTTTCCTCACTCGAAGGGGACGTCGTTTTCCCCCTCCTCCTGGAGGGGGACTCCCCGATGGTGGTGTAGTTGTCCAGGATGGTAGTGCAATTGTCCCCGATCTCCTCCTCCTCCTCCTCCTCCTCCTCCTCCCCCTCCTCCTCCTCCTCCTCCTCCTCCTCCTCCTCCTCCTCCTCCAGCTCCTCCTCCTCCTCCTCCTCCTCCTCCTCCTTTGAGCTCCCGTCAGGCCTCGCTCCAACGCGGTACGGTGCATGGTTTTTTGTTGGCCCTAAGGCCTAAGGGCCGATCACCTGTGCACCGTACCATGGCTGGGCCGAAAATTTCGGCAGCGCCTCGGCAGACGCCAGCGCGGTGCGGTGCATACGTCTCGTCCGCGGATGGGGCGAGCCTATCTCGCCAGACTCTGCGTGTGGAGCTCCGTGTCGACGCGCTGCGCGTGCTGCGTGCTGCGTCCCGTGGCGGCGGCGCCGAAAGAGTCCGTGTGTGCGCCGCTGTGCCGGAAGCCCTCCGCCTTTTCCGCCCCTCCCGAGGGGCGCGGCCCCGCGGAGTGCGCGCCCAGCCCGCCGGCGTCCGTGAGCGGGGACACCCAGGCAGGGCCACCCTCAGGAGGGAAGGAAACACACAGACACAATTCATCGACGATTCCCCAGAAAATATGGGAAGTGGGGGGGAAGACAAACACCCTGAAAATACAAAAAAAAAAAAAATGGGGGGCCCTCTTATTTGTGCGTGTTTATTTGTGTGTCCCGGGGCCCCTTCACACCCACGATCCAAGCCGCTGCGATGCGATTCGCCCCCCAGGGCCGCAGTTCCGATTCGAGTCCCTCGGCATCGACCGCGGCCAGCCGGAGCCGGGCGCGGCGCTCCGGCTTCGGTTCGGTGTGGGGCGATTCGACGGCGATGCGATCCGATCCCGATCCGAGCCGATTTCACGATGCGATTCGGCTCGGGCCTGCCCAGGTGCCCGAGGACGAGGTGCAGGTGCCCCTCGCGGCCACGCTGCTCGAGGTCTACTCGGGCTACGCTGACGACGAGGCTTGGCTCTTCGAGAACAAAAGAACCCCTAACTTTAGTTACACGATGAAGACGTGGCCTCGCTGAGGTCCCCGTCTACGCATCAGGGATCAGAAGTGTGGGCGGCTTACTCTGATTCGCATGCATGCAGAGAAAACCCCCTATCCCTGATGTTGCTGGCCCTCCCAACTTAGGTCCCCTCCCAGAGGGATAGGGCTCCTCTTGCTGCTGATCTTAACTCGGGCGTGTCCCTCTACAGGAGGAGTATTCAAATATAGTCAAAAATAGTCCGGGGACGATTTGTCTATTCTCTTTCTTCCGAAATCCGCCGGTAGGAGGGCGTGCCCGACCTGACGCTAGTCACTGGCGGCGCCCGCAGGGGGGCGGCGCGAGTGGGGGGGGGGGGCTCCCTGGGCGAGCGGGCGGTGGGGCCTCTTGCGGTCGGGGTCCCTTTGGGCAGAGGGTCCTGCAGATCGGGCCTGGAGAGGCAGGCTCCCCGAGGCAGGGGCCCTGTCAGAGACCCTCCAGTCGAGCACTGGCGAGGCGTCCTGGCGTACCCATAGGCCTGCCAAGCAATGTTCTAAGAACCTCTCGTGGTTTCCACGAGATGTTCTTCGAACATTTCTGGCTGGGGCCGGGCTTATTTTCTAAGAACCATCTTTTTGTTCTTAGAACATCTCTGGGCTCTAATATGTCGTGGCATGCCTATAGGAATGCCGTGACGGTCAGTCCCTGCTCAATCCAGGATTCTGAGGGGCCTCCCTGGAGCCCCGGGGCCCTTCTGAGAAGGCCTTTTGCCTTCTGAAGAAGGCTTGAGTCGGGCATGCCCCTCTACAGGAGGCATAATCCAAAATGGTCAAAATCATAGTCTGGGAACTATGCCTGTAACGATTGTTGAAATATGTTTTACCTCTTTTTCATTGTTCGTCCAAAACCCGCCTGTAGGAGGACGCGTCCGACCTTACAGAAGGCCTCCGCCTCCTCAGAAGGCTGGCCCCCTCGCGCCATTGCCGCGTGTTTGGCGCCGCCGAGAGGCGGAGGTGCACGACAGGTTCTTGCGCCTGGCGTTCAACCGCTTCGCGATCGACGGGGCCAGCGAGCTCGCGCGGGAGAGCCTGCACGACGCTCTCCTCCACATGGGCTTCCTGACCAGCACGCGGGAGCACGCCCTGGATCTGTCGGCGCAGTTCTCTGGCTTCCAGAACTTCGACTACGTGGACTTCTGCGAGTACGCGAACAAGTTTGCTGCCCTCGAGCGTGCCGCCGTCCGCCAGCGAGCGGACGCCTGCCTGGCGGCGCACGGCGGCACGGCCACGGTCGCAGGGGTGCAGCAGTTCCTGCACGCCGCCGGCGTGCTCCTCCCGTACGGCCGCGTGGAGAAGGCGAGGAGGGCGGCGAAGCTCGACCACGTGAGGCCAGAGGACATGAAGAGGAGCGACCTCCTGCTGACGCTGGCCGCGTGCAAGATGGAGGAGGGCTTCGCCAGGGAGGATGTCGCGGCCCTCCACGAGATCTTCGGCGAGCTGGAGCAGGGGCAGCCGGCCTCTGCGAGCGGGTGGGGCCCGCTGGCCAAGGCCTCCGACCTCGTCGAAGGCCTGCTCAAGTTCACGGGCCTTTATTGCGTGGACTTTCTGGAGAGGTTTGCGGACATCCTGCCCTCCGACTCACCAGATCAGAAGGGTATCTGTTTCCACGAGTTTTTGGTCTGGGCACGACGGTTGCGCGACGCCATGATGCAGGACCTGTGGAAGTGCTTCAAAGGTTTCGAAACCAGCGGTTCAGGGGTAGTCCGGCTAGACATTGCCATCAACATCGTGGAAGAGTGTGGGATTTCCCTCCTCACGGACGCTGTAGATGAGCTTCTTTCGGGCCTCGGGATGCAGAAGGACAACACCTTGGACTTTCACGCGCTGGTGCAGCTTTTGAGCGCTGCCCGGAAGACGCACGGCTTCTCGCGCACCGAGGAGGAGGAATTAAGCACTGCGTTCGAGAAAATCGATTACGACGGAACGGGCGAGCTGAACCACCTCCAGGTGCTTGACCTGCTTCGGTACCTTGGACACACCATCAGCTTCGAGGAGGCAAACTCATTGATAAGGCGGGTTGACTTCAACGGGAATGGTTCCATGGACCGCGACGAGTTCTTGAGGCTAATGAGATTGATGCGCGAGCAGGACATCCGGTGCGCTCGCAAGTCCTTCAACGCGTTGAGCAGCTCCACTGGCCAGCTTCCCAAAGGGTCAATTAAAGACGCTCTTTCCGACGCTCGCAAGTCCTTCAACGCGCTGAGTAGCTCCACTGGTCGGTTTACCATGGGGGCAGCTACCGACTCTCTTGCCAGCGCTGGTAAGTCCTTACGCGAGTTGAGTAGCTCCATGCGTCGGCGTCCCATGGGCTCAGTCAAGGATGTCCGGTTCTCTCAGAAGTCCGTCATCGTCGAGTTACCCAGCTCCACTGGTATGGTTCCCACGAGGTCAGCCAAGAACGCTCGTGCCAACGCTCGCAAGTCTGGTCGGCTGCCGACGGGGTCAGTTCAGGACGCACTCGCCAAGCTGCAGCTCTTTCCAGGATCCGCCATGATCTCGGAGCTCCTGCAGGACGCGCCGGAGGAGATGTGCTTCAGTGCCTTCATGCGTCTCCACGACCAGTGCCGCTTCCGCATGAACCTCGATTTCCGGAGGCGCGGAGGCTTCTCTGAAGACGCCGTGCAGGAGATAGAGGAGCTCTGGAAAGGCGGCGGATCTCCTAAGCAGTTCGCCACCGTCGGCGAGCTCCTCTGGATGTTCTCCAGCTCGCTCATGGTCCCCGTGAACACGGTCGAGGGGCGGCAGAAGCTGCTGCTGCGCGTGCAGAACGCGCGAGAGGCCGCGATCGAGGCGGGCGTCCCCGAGGAGGAGGCGTCGCGCGGAGGCACTGCGGACATCGGCTTCTACACATTCGTGCACCTGGTTCGCGGCATTGTGCGGGACACGGAGCAGGAGGTTCACCTGCGCGAGACGGAGGCCGCGTCCTTCGCTCAGTTCTCCATCGACGAGGCGGCCGAGTTCCGCCGCGCTTTCTGCGATTTCGCCGCGGCAGACCCGTCGACTCGGAATCAGCTGGCGGCCAGGATGGGACCGTGTGTGGACAGTCTCCTGGAGCGACTCACGCTGGTGCCTGCCATCCCAAAACGGGCCATGCCGCTCCTACTGAAGTCCATCGGGGTGAAGGCGCCTGGCAGCAAGCTGCAGGAACTCACCCGGTTTCTGACAGAGAACCAGAGCCAGGGCGAGGCAGACAAGAACACGCTCCAGTTTGCGACGTTCTTGAGGCTTTTGCGGTGGATGCTCGACACCAATTTTGCAGGCATCGGCGGCCCGATAAGCTCGCCAAGGAGATGATCGAGTGGGACACTGGCGGAGCCAGGGGCTCCATAGGGTGACTGCGGCAAGCTGGGAGAGCTGTGGCACCCTCTTGTGATGCCCAGTTTCCATCGCCGTGCTTTGTCGGTGCCACGATCTGCGGGCAAGCCTGGCTTTAGGTCGGGCCTGTCAGCCTACAGGGGGATTTTCTACGAAAAATAAACGATACCCAACAAATAATCAAAAAATAATCCAATTAGCCTGGCGAAGGACCCAACCATATGCAGTTGTGAATGCCGCAATTGTGTTGGGTGGTGGCGGACGCATGCGGGCGGTGCCACTGGGACCTTCGGTGGAGCTCCCTATGGGGCCACGAAGCGCTGTACTGGGTGGGTGAGACGCGGTCAGCAAGGGCTGTGCTGCGTGGTGGCGGACGCATGCGAGCGGTGCCACTGGGACCTTCGGTGGAGCTCCCTATGGGGCCACGAAACGCTGTACTGGGTGGGTGAAACGCAGGCAGGGAGCAAGGGCTGTGCAGGGTGGTGGCGGACGCATGCGGGCGGTGCCGCTGGGACCTTTGGTGGAGCTCCCTATAGGGCTACGAAGCGCTGTTCTGGGTGGGTGAAGCGCAGGGAACAAGGGCTGTGCTGGGTGGTGGCGGACGCAAGCGGGCAGTGCCACTGGGACCTTTGGTGGAGCCCCCTATGGGGCCACGAAACGTGCGAGGGGTGTGCCAGAATGGGGTGTGGAACCGCATGCCAGCGCAGCCACTGGGGCCTTCGGTGGAGCTCCCTATGGAGCCACGAAACGTGTGAGGGGTGTGCCGAAATGGGGGGTGGAACCGCATGCGAGCGCAGCCACTGCGGCGTTCGGTGGAGCTCCCTATGGGGCCACGAGACGTGTGAAGGGCGTGCCGAAAAAGGAAGTGGAACCGCATGCGAACGCAGCCACTGGGGCCTTCGGTGGAGCTCCCTATGGGGCCACGAAGCGTGTGAGGGGTGTGCCGAAATGGGGGGGGAACCACATGCGAGCGCCGCCACTGGGGCGTTCGGTGGAGCTTCCCAGGGAGCCACCCACGAAGCGTGCGAGGGGTGTGCCAGAATGGGTTGTGGAACCGCATGCCAGCGCAGCCACTGGGGCCTTCGGTGGAGCTCCCTATGGAGCCACGAAACGTGTAAGGGGTGTGCCGAAATGGGGGGTGGAACCGCACGCGAGCGCAGCCACTGGGGCCTTCGGTGGAGCTCCCTGGGGCCACGAAACGTGTGAGGGGTGTGCCAGAATTGGGGGTGGAACCGCATGCGAGCGCAGCCACTTGGGCCTTCGGTGGAGCCCTATGGGGCCACGAAACGTGTGAGGGGTGTGCCAGAATGGGGGGTGGAACCGCATGCGGGCGCAGCCACTGGGGCCTTCGGTGGAGCTCCCTATGGGGCCACGAAACGTGTGAGGGGTGTGCCAGAATGGGGGTGGAACCGCATGCGGGCGCAGCCACTGGGGCCTTCGGTGGAGCTCCCTATGGGGCCACGAAACGTGTGAGGGGTGTGCCAGAATGGGGGGTGGAACCGCATGCGGCGCAGCCACTGGGGCCTTCGGTGGAGCTCCCTATGGGGCCACGAAACGTGTGAGGGGTGTGCCAGAATGGGGGGTGGAACCGCATGCGGGCGCAGCCACTGTGGGCCTTCGGTGGAGCTCCCTATGGGGCCACGAAAAGGGGGCCACGAAACGTGTGAGGGGTGTGCCAGAATGGGGGGTGGAACCGCATGCGGGCGCAGCCACTGGGGCCTTCGGTGGAGCTCCCTATGGGGCCACGAAACGTGTGAGGGGTGTGCCAGAATGGGGGGTGGAACCGCATGCGGGCGCAGCCACTGGGGCCTTCGGTGGAGCTCCCTATGGGGCCACGAAACGTGTGAGGGGTGTGCCAGAATGGGGGGTGGAACCGCATGCGGGCGCAGCCACTGGGGCCTTCGGTGGAGCTCCCTATGGGGCCACGAAACGTGTGAGGGGTGTGCCAGAATGGGGGGTGGAACCGCATGCGGGCGCAGCCACTGGGGCCTTCGGTGGAGCTCCCTATGGGGCCACGAAACGTGTGAGGGGTGTGCCAGAATGGGGGGTGGAACCGCATGCGGGCGCAGCCACTGGGGCCTTCGGTGGAGCTCCCTATGGGGCCACGAAACGTGTGAGGGGTGTGCCAGAATGGGTGTGGGAAGGGGAGGAGGGGGGAGGAAGGGGAGGAGGAGGAAGGAGGAGGAAGGAACGCGGGGCGACGTCTCTTCAAAACGAGGGCCCAACACCACAGGACGGTTGGGAAAAATAGTGTGGGGACCATTTTTCTAGTACAGTGGGGGCCCATGCCAAGAAACACCCTGCTTGCCTCCAGGGTGCCCTGGATTTCATGGGTTTCGACTGTTTTGCTATGGGAACCGTGACGTTCCCACACCAAAAATCAATGGACGTCCCAGGGCCTCAGGGTTGGGCTTCTTGTGGAAGGTTTCTTGTGGACCAGCCTCCACTGCATTTTTTTTTTTGTTAACCTTTTTGGAGTGTTTTGGGGGTATTCTTTTATTTGTCGTGGAAAATCCCCCTGTAGGGGGACAGGCCCGACTGAAGCCTGGCTTCCAGGCGCATGTCGGGCGGTCGTCGCTCCGATGGCGGCGCTCGCGCGGGAGCGGAGGCGAGCGGCGCGGGAGGCCCGCCGAGGTCGGGGATCGCCTCTGCCCTGACCCGCGGGCCCCGGGCCCCGCGGCGTGGGCTCCCGGGCTGCTCGGGCACGTGTGCAGCCATCCCCTGCGCCAGCCCAGGGTTCTGGAGGAGGGGGAGGGGGGGGAGGAGGAGGAGAGGAGGGGGAGGAGGAGGAGGAGGAGGAGGAGGAGGAGGAGGAGGAGGAGGAGGAGGGAGGAGGAGGAGGAGGAGGAGGAGGAGGAGGAGGAGGAGGAGGAGGAGGAGGAGGGGGAGGAGGATGGGGCGACGGGGGCGGGGAGGAGGCACCGTCTGGCGCGTCGCTGCTCACGGCGTGCCGGTCAGCTGTTTCATTGCCCTGCAGGGGCACGCCTTGTTTCAGTGTCCTGCAGGATCGCGCGCGCGGCGCGTGACCAGCACGAGCAGGTTGGGCACGAGCTGCAGGAGGGCCTCCCATGCGCTGGGCACGCAGCTTTTGTATGGCACGGTGCTGCCAGTTTGGGGGTCAGTTGTGATACGTAGTATGGCCACCCAACACGACTCACTTTCTCAGCCCGCGGCGTCGCAGGCCGCACACCAGCGAAGAAGTGCTACCGAGGGCGGAGATGTGAGTCACGGACCCGTCCTCACGGGGGCGGCTCGAGTTTCGTGGTGCATGTATAGCTTTAAGAGCGTGCACGGGGCAGCCATTGCAGCCTTTGGGTGTGTGGGTATCTGATTTTGTTTGGTCACGTCGAACTCGGATCGTGACGTTGCAATCGGCGTTGGAAGAGTCGAAGGGCTCGCTCGTTAAGCGAACGCCGCGTTTTCGATCGGGAGGCGCCAGCGGCGATTGACTTCCTGTTTCCCTTTCCGTCTTCCTCTTCCTGCGCAGTCCTCTCCTGTGTGATAGATTTAGACAGCCAGTGTATATTGTCAACGGCCCCCCGCGCCAGTCGAGTCTACGGTGCTCTCCATGCTCGCCAGTCGGGACCGAACGGGTATGTGGTGCCGTCGAGAGCACCCTTGCCCGTAGTGGAAGGTAGCGCACGGCGTTGCGGGGATTTCCGAATTATTATCCGAGTCCTGGCTACAGGTTGCATCCCCATTCCTTGAACTCCCAGCATTCCGACTTCCACTGTCTTCTGCCCTTTCTCGTCGACCCCAGGCAGGGCTCATAGACCGCTCACAATAGGTGGGCACCGTGAGAACCTCTTCTGCCCGCAGGAGCATTGCGCTGCACCCAGCTTGCCAGAGCTGCCCACGCCGACGACAAGGAGCAGCCCTGGACGAGCGCCCTGAGAAGCTGGGTGAGCAAGGGCGGGCGGGGGGCGGAGATGGAGATGCCCAGGACGATGGAGGCAACCTGTCGGAAGTTTATGTCTGAATGTCAAGCTTAGGGTGCCGGTCTCCAGCCCACGGCCTAGCCGCAAGAGGCCTGTGGGTACCACATGCTTTTTTTCATGATTGGAGTTGATGATGGTGATGCTTCCGCAAGCCTCAGGGGATTTGTCGCCACCCGTTGCGAGGCCGTGGGCTCGGGCGAGAACTTTGTCCTGCCCGCTTCTAGGTGGCCCCCCGATCTCCTCTTTCTCCCGCTCTGGTGGGAGCGTTCCGCAGACCGTCCACGAGTGGTGGGCGATTTCTTTTCTGGTGGTCTTCCAGACTGAGGCCGCTCGGCGGCCGTTCCGGCAGTTCGTGTTTCAAGCGTGTTGGGGAAATTGGGCGATTTGACGCACGTGCAGCGCCTGGAAACCAGTTTCGCGTGCCGTCTGGCGCTGGCCCGCGCACACCTACATGCATTTCGCTTGAACGCTCGCTCTCGGCCGACTCGGCGAGCCGGCAAAAGTGGATCGCGTCTCCTCGGATCTTCCCTCCCCAAGGTTCCGGGTGCTGCCGAGGAGGCAGCCCGTGAGTGAGCCTCATGATGATAGGACGCCGTCCTGTTGCTGGTCCTACTCCTAATTCCTCTTCCTCTCTCCTACCCTCCTCCCACAAGGTGGACGCTGGGGCTCGCATCCGTACAGCACCCAGGGGCCCTGCTCAGGTTTCAAGCTTGAAGCACCATGGACCCCCAACAGCCTTATCCTCATCCTTATCCTCCCCCCTCTCTCTGCGCCAGTTTGTCCACACCCTTCCACCCGCAACCCTCCATCCCCCCACGCGATCAGAGGTTTGCTGCTTCCTGCGCCCAGCCCCAACAAAAACAAAGGGCACGTGGGCACTCCTTGGTGCCCCCGTACCGATGCCGCTCCGCTCCGCTCCCTCCCGTTTTTACAACAGCATGGAGTTTGCCGGACACTCGGAGGATTCACGCTCGCGGCCAGGGCGTACGCTCTCTGACCAGCAAGCCATTCGTGCAGCTCCGCTTGCAGAGTCGGGCACGC